GCGCCTTCAGTGCCGCCTCAATGTCGCTGCAGGACGAACGAAAGCAGATACGTCATCGGCGTACGCAGAAACCCTGACGAGCCCCTCCAGGAACCGTGACTCCACATAGGGCCGGACTGCACACCCTGTCCCTCAACCGACGAAGGAGAGGCTCCAACGCCAAAGCATAAAGTAGGAGCGACAACGGACAACCCTGACGAACCGACCTAAACAGCGCAAAAGCACCCGACAGCTTCCCGTTCTCCTGTACCACAGCACTGGGGGAGCGATACAGGAGGCTAATCCAGCGGCACAAATCGGGTTCGAATCCGGCGGCCTGCAGGACAGCAGCAAGGTAGCGATGGTCAACCGTATCAAATTCCTTGAACTGATCTAAATTGATCAGCGCGGCCTCATCGTCGTCTTTTACACCCTCTATGATCAGACGCAGGTTGCTCTGAATTGTTCGGCCCCTCACAGAACAAGTCTGCTCCGGACCCAACAGAGATTCGGCAGGATCTTGGCCAAAATCTTTAACTCTATGTTTAGCAGAGTTATGGGCCTGTAATCGTCTAGTTTCCCCCCAACATACTTGCCCTTTTTCAACAGCGTGATCACACCCCTCGTGAGCCGGTTGGGGATGGACCTCTGCCGGAACCAGTTGTTGAACAGCACAGTCAAAATCGGGACAAAGATGTGCGACAGCCTCAAGTACACTTTATAGGACAATCCATCCAGACCGGGCGACTTACCTCTGCCGACCTTCAATGCCGCGTAGACTTCTCCCTCCGTGATCTCTCCTTCGCAGCTAACCACTTCAGTCGGCGAAAGCCGATGAAAATCAGCCAAATAGCTACGAAACTCCTCATCACGGAGACCACGCTCCTTGGTAAACCGGCTCTCGAAATGCCGCCGAAGCACCTTGCACATGTTCTCAGTGGCCCGAAGAGTATGCCCCTCCAGGGTCTAGACTTCACGAATGTAACGATCGGAACCTCGATGGATTTCTTCCTTGCGCAAGTCTGCGCCCATGTTCATAGTTTCGGAAGATATCTTGCTTAACCTATATCTAATTACCTGGCCCATGTTGCGCTCGCTATTCAAACGCTGCAGGATCCCCCCAGCCACTGCCCGGGAAAACTTAGCCTTAAGCGTATTCACCTTCTCAGCTCTATCCAGGGCGAGCCGTTTGCTGAAATCAATGGTGAAGGACCGAAACCTATCCTTAGGTCTCTCCCACCACTTATTCCCGATAACCGCCCCACAACCTCCCGCTGCACTACTCTAGTTAGCTGCTCCTGAAATTCTTGCTTGTCCAGTAAAGACAGATTGAACTTCCAGTAACCAGCCATTCTAGGCCTACGGTCTAACGCCACCCGGGCACAAACGAGTTTGTGGTCCGAATAGCCTACCCAGTGGAACGTGGGACAATCTAACAAGTCTACGTCGGCTCTTCTAACTAACATTCTATCCAGGTAAAAGACCCGGGTAAAAGACCAATTAAGAGCCCACATCCACATTTTCCCCCCGGGATGATCGACCCGGTATCTATCGACGAGACCAAACTCTTTGATCAGATCAACCAGGCTACGATAGACCATACACCCACTAGTTCCCGCCCCCTAACTTGGGGTCCACGATGGCATTCCAGTCCCTCATTAAAACTAAGCGCGTTGAATCCACCAGGAACGGTCCCAGCTGCCGAAAAAACGAGACCCACTCCTCATGGTCACTGGGCGCATAAACCGCAACAACTCGGAACGAACCACTTTTCACGGCAATATCGACCACGATCAACCGGCCCTCGGCATCGGTATGCACAAGGTCCACCTTCGTATCAAAAGTCCGCTTCACCAGCAAAGAAACTCCTCTGGCATGCCGGTTCCCATATGCTGGCTAAACGACAATGTCGCTCGCCAGCACACACGCATCGACGCATGCACGCCGAAAGACAAGAGATCACGGAGCAGGCGGGCCGCCTTACCCCGATCCCTCAAGCCCTTCGCATTCAGACTGGCTATCTTAATCGACTTCTTCTAGGTCGAAAAAAATAGAAAAGTGAAAAAAGAAAAAGACCTACTCATTTACAGGTCGGAAATCTGCTTCAGTCAGGACCCCGACGGATTGTCCTAGGCTCCCCACACCTAGCTCTGATGTCATTCATCCTTCCAGGACAATCCCGCCGACGACCGTGGGATAGGTTAATTTAACGCACCTATATAAGGAGGGATGGAGTAAGACAGGGACCCTCCCAGAACAATATTGTCTTAATTTCTTTAGGTATTCGTCATCCATTACCAACATTTTAATGTTTTTGAAGGCCTCTTGGACTTCCACCAGATTACCCCAGGAGCACCGGGAAAGTTACTGGGGTTCCCATCTACAGTAGACGTCTTTATCAAAAGGCTCAGTAAAGATTTTTTACGACTTGACAAGCTTTTCTTAACTTGTTCCACGTCTACTTCTGCGTCAGGGAAATTGTTTTTCTTTTTCCTGGCACGGTGGGGAGGGGAAGAAGTGGAAGTGTGAGGAGGAGTGGATATTGATCTAGCAGAGGAGGTGGAGGGACAGGGAGACGGAGCTCGAGTGGGTGAAGTGGAGAGGCTCCTAGCTTTTAGCAGTTCTTCTCTAGCTTGTCCTCGCGAGACCGGTACTGATAAGGACCTGTATTTTGGCAGATTTCTTTCTGCCCTGCTTCGGCCGACACGTTTCTCTACCGGTTTTTCAGCTTCCTCCTCCCCCTCCTCTTCTTTAGTTCTTTTCAAAGAAACAGAGCGAGATGGGGGCATTTCCTCCACCTCCATCCTCTCTTCCGGCTGCTGCTCCTTTTTTTGTTCTATTTTTTCCTTTTTGTTTTGTTGTTTTATTACTGCTTTTGGTGATTTCTGGTGTTTCCGCTGTTGCTGCTGCTGGGGCCCCCGCTGCTGCAGCTGGGACTTCTGCTGCTGTTGCTGGGGGCTGCCGCCGCTTGGGCGACCTGTTCGACCCGCCGTCGAGGAGAGGGCGGGCCCGTCACCCCTTCCCAGCTCAGTCCAGGCACCCTGGGAGGGGCCCCTCTGCCACGACCGCTGCTAGAGGTGCATTCCCTGTAGGCCGATCCATCCTCCTCCCGGGGTTCTCCCCAGCCATGTGCCCCACCGAACCGCATGCCCAACAACACGGCCTCCTGCCCTCCACGACGACGAACATTCTCCGTCAAAATTTTTGGAATGCTTTGGAAGCTCCAACGTGCGAGGACAACCTGCAAAACGATGCCCGCCCCACCACACACGGCACTCACCTCCTGTACCCGACCACAGCCGGCAAATAACGCCCCCATACGGTCTTCCAGGATGTCAAATGGTACACCATGCACTACCACTTGCGTCCCTCCTGCGCCCATACACTCCGTTTGGAGTCTCAAAGCCGATGTTGAAAGAACACCCGCACCACCTCCCGCTCGGATCCGAGAAGAAGATCCCACATTGCGCCGCTTCCCCTCGCCAACACCTTCGGTACGATTCTAAGGCTTTTTAGTGCCTCCTCCATGCTCTTGTGGAATCGCGCAATAATTCCACCAATTTTTACGTGCGTACGCGGATTGCACCCCTTCCTGTCACCTTCGGCTAGACATAGTAGTAAACCAGCCTGTTTGTTGCCGACGTGAGGTTGCTAGCTGCTCCTGATTCCAGCTAGAACGGAATTTGAAGTTTTCCCGCGCATTTCTCTGACGTCACTGACAAACTTTGTTTTTCAAGTCATTTGCTGCCTGTTTCCAGAACGAGAAGGTCGACTCATTTATTTCGTGCCCCTTACCCATACGCGGGCCGGAATATCTTAACTAACCAAAAAACTTCCTAGTGACTCCTTGGTTCATTATGCCGAATACTTTTCCTGTGATTGTAACTTGTTTCGAACAACATGTTTGAACCTTCCTCCATTTTCTACCGGAGAATGTAGAGTCTACGACACTGTCGGCATCACACTTTTAAGACTAATTCCTCGTCTTTCTGCGAACAACTTGTTCGAACTTTCCTCCGTTTCACTACCAGGGAATGTAGAGTTTTTCGACACAGTCGATTGATGAACTTCACTCACTTCTTTGAAACTTTACGAACCAGTTTAAAAAAAGATAACATTACACACACATTATAAAACCTCGCAGTGAGTATTTTCCTTGTTGTGTATGCATGCACCTTTTGTATAAAAAGAACTTTATAAAAGAACTTTCCTTCTGAAGAAACTTTTCCCGCCTTAACCATTTTGATTTTTGTTTTGGCGCGGAATATTAACATTCTATTACAGTAGGCAAATTGTATAATGTATTGACTAGTAGTCACTAGTCAATACATTATACAATTTGCCTACTGGCTAAGAACTGGTTTTACTTTTTCTGATAGTCTCCACTGACTGAGACAAAATATTTGTTATTAAAATAAAGTTTTATATTTGTTTCCCACCAGACTCATTTTCGTCGTTTCCTCCTGGCTATCTATATTTTACTATTTTTATGCACGTGTTAAATGACCCTTTTTCCTCACTAAAGATCACACATTTATTATTTTTACTTTGTTAGTGGATTCGGTAGCCGTGAGTAGTGTCTGGCACAAGGCCACTTTTTCGTAGGCCATAACTGCATGCTACCGGGTCTGCTACAAGATTGGTGACCATCCCGACGTGATTTTGAGGAACACTTATTTCTTATACAAAAAAAACAAAACACTGTTTATTTCGGGTGAGATCATAACTGTAAACGTGCATTTAATTTGGAAGCAGGAATGACGTCTGGTGAAGCCGGAGAGTTGGCGAGCATGGCCGCCGCCGTTGCTCCCTTTCCCCCCTTTTACAAAGGGAATATTGAGAACTGGTTCCTTTAAATGGAAGCCATTTTTATCGTGAGAAAAATCTCAGACCAGAAAAAGAAGTTTGGCCACGTGGTATCAGCTTTACCACCCACCATTGTGGATGAAGTGTCCGATTTTTTGGAAGCCGTCCCGGAGGTAGAACCTTATACCCAATTGAAGGAGGCTATTCTAAGGAGAATGGCCCGTACTGAAGAAGCACTTATCCGCGAGTTATTTAGCGACTTAACTCGTGATGGTAGAACCCCTTCGCAACTTCTATGCTTCATGAAGAGTCGTTTGGGTAAAAACGTTATGGCCGACCCAATTTTAAAAAGCCTGTGGTTGGATCGCATCCCCACTACCATTACCCAAATTTTGGCGCCCATGTCGGAAAACACCCCACTCGACCAGTTAGCGGCCGACCGTATTTTCTCCCAACTGGATCACCAAACGACACCAGTACACAGTGCTGAAGCATCCAGTGACCACAGGTCCTTGGAAAAAGCTGTGGAAGAACTACAGCGGCAAGTCAGAGACCTGACATTTGCTCTAAAAAACCGTGGTCGAAACCGGTTTCCTTCCCGCCGTCGTTTTAGGAGTCGACGACGTTCGTCTAGCCAAGACGATGATACCTCTTCTTCCACTATGTGCTACTATCATCGTAGATTTGGTTCTGCAGCACGTTACTGCACTAAGCCGTGCAATTATACTGCGGTCGGGGGAAACGAGACCGCCAGCAAGTGAGAGCGACTAATCTTGCTGGTAAGGCACCTTCACAGAAGCTTAGTCGCCTTTTCTACGTGTTCGATACACGTAATAATTTACGTTTCTTAGTCGACACCGGCGCTGCCATCAGTGTGTTACCCGTTCGTAATAAAGCAAGTCTAAAACCTTATCAGCTCCGCATACAAGCCGCGAATGGCTCCACGTTGGGCTAAAAAAGGTTTTTCTTGTTGTGTAGAAGACATTCTTGCGAATATGGAGCAAATTTTGACTTTGATAGTTGAAATACAACAGAAACAGCAACAACAACAAAATCAACAGTTACTAGAACTACAAAAACAGCAACAGAAAACACCAAAACACCATATCAGAATTTGTATACAATCCTGATCAGGGACTGACTTTTTCTGCATATTTTCATAGATATGAACAAATATTCACTCAGAAATGCAGCAGCTGGAAAGATGAGAGAAAAACGAGAATGTTATTGAGGAAAATATCTCCGATAGAGTATAAAAAATACTGCAACTAAATATTACCAAAAAAAAAGTGAAATCGGGTTTGAAGACACGGTACACATTCTGACGAAACTCTTTAGTGACAAAAGCACTCTGTTTAATGCTCGTTGAAGGTGTACGAATATAACCAAAAAACGAAGATTTTGTCACAAACGTTTAGAATAAGGGAAATGACTTCAGATATGTTCAAAGGGTTAATTTTAGTTCAAGGTTTCGTTCAAACAGCTAATACCGATGCTGAGATACGAGCGAAAACTTTAACGAGAATTGAACAAAACAGTAATATTGCACTGCAAGAAATAGTTGACGATTGCCAGACAATTCTAAGTTTGAAACATGATGCTGAAGAAATTCAGAAAAAAAGAATGTGCATTAGTACAAACAAAGGTCAAATGTACAAAAAGGAGAATAAATCCTTGTTTCAGATGTAGTAAATTACACCTTGGAAATGATTGTCCATTTAAAAATTATTACATGTGGGATAAACGATGACATATAAAGTCACACTGCAAAACCAAACCGAGAAAAAATTCTCACAGGAAGAAATTTGTACACAGCGTTGTGACGGAAAAATGGTCCCAGAAAACAAAAGGAAATTTGTAAAGGTGAAAATAAATAATGTAGGTATGAAAATTCTACTGAGTGATATTTCAGTAATCAGTAAAACCACATGAAAAGGACTTTATTGAAAAGAACTTCCAAAGTCACGATTTCTGTTTCTGGTGAGAATTATTTTTCTTTTCTTTTTTTTTTTTTTTTTGATTTTACTTTGGGATTTGCCGATAAACGTTTATTGTAAAAACGTAGTGGACAAGAGACCAACTTAAACTGTCAGAGCGAAAATCTTTAAAAGAAGAATTTAAAATGTTTTTCAGATGTTCTTGTCAAATGAACTGGGTCGGTGTTCAAAATTCAATGTGGATTTTCAAGTAAAAAAAGGTTCGACGCCAGTATTTAAGCCGAAACAGAGCATACCATTCGCGGCATTGGAACAAGTCAACAAAGAGTTGGACAGACTTGAAAGAATTGGTGTAATAGAAAATATTTTACCATTCAAAATGGGCTACACCAATGGTGTATGTAAAAAAAAAAATAAAGGGAAAAAAGGGTGTTTGCGCGGATTTCTCGACAGGATTATACAGTTGTTTAGAAACACATTACCAAATCCAGAGGCAGAAAAAATGTTTTCAAAGCTGGATCTCTCTGAAGCGTATTTACAAATTCAGAAAAAAAATGAATGTTCAGAATTAACGACCATAAATATGCACAGAGGATTATATAAGTTTAACCGACTTCCTTTTGTTATAAAAGTGGTACCAGCTATTTTTCAACAAGCTGTGTAGATACCGTGATTGCTGCTGCAATTTCGCAGTGGAGTATCTAGACGAGATTTTAATCAAAAGTGTATCTAAAGAACATGGGAATGGAAAAAACAATTTTGGAAAAACTAAGAGAGTAGGAAGATGAAGAAAAATGCGAATTTTTTGCAGAAAATTAAATAGCTTGGTTAAATTATTGATAAAAATGGTTGTCAACCAGTTCCGTCGAGGGCAAGTGCAATTAAAAATATGCCTCCACCAACAGACGTGACTACATTACAAGCTTTTCAAGGATTGGCTAATTTCTATCAAATATATGCGCATGATAGGCATAATTTGAGAGCTCTACTGAACGATCTACTTTAAAAAAAAAGGAGTAAAGTGGAATTGGAATGATAACTGTCAAAAGTCGTTTGACGAAATAAAAAAAAGAATTACGTCATCATTAGCAGTGAGTACGATATTGTAGCGGTGATTTTACACAAATATGATGGCGGTAAAATAAAGCCTTCGCTCATGCTTCACATTCGTTTCTACCTGTTGGTAGAAACGAATGTGAAGCATGAGAAAAATTACAACCAGATAAAAAAAACAGTCTCTAGCAATTACATTGCCTGTGAAGAAATTTCATAAAATTATACATGGAAGAAATTTTAGGCTGCAAACAGACCGCAGACGTCTATTATATGGTTGAAAGAAAGAAAAACCTATGCATACAGATAATAGACTACAACACTAAGGTACGATCTTATTAAACTATGATTTTACGGTGATTTTATGATTTTACCGTCTAAAAAATTAGGACATGCAGATGGATTATCAAGATTAATACGTAAAAACGGCACTAAAAAGCAAAATGGAAATAAAAAAACATTTTGTGCAACCTAGTACGAAAGTTACCAGTTACCATAGAAGAAATAAAAGAAAATGACGTCTTTATTGTGAAAATAAAAAAAAGGAATTGAAAGAATGTAACAAAGAACGAAATAACAAAGGCTTACTCACAATGCAACGGTGTAGTAATGCTAGGGAAAAGGGTTGTAATGCCTAGTGTGTTACAGAAGCGAATATTGAATAATATTCATAGCGGTCATCCTGTTATTTCTGATAAGACTGATATCATATTGAACCAGAATGAAGCAAAATATTTTAAAAAAAAATAGTGAAAGCTTACAGAGGCTGTGCTCTGGCAAGCAAAACAACCTATCACAAAGATAGAAGCTTGGTCTAAGACAGACATGCCGTGGTCAAGATTTTCAGGTCCTATGAATTAATCATATTATCTTGTGAATAGTTTCACTAAATTGCCGGAAATTTATATGTGCAAAAATCTTCAGTGACAGTGAATTTCTTGCATGAAGTGTTTGCGACATATAGCATACCGTATACCATAGTGCCTAATAGCGGAACACAATTAACGGGTGAAGAATTCGAAGACTTTTGTAAGATGTTTCCAATTAAAATTATTACGACCCCACTGTATCAGCCAATGTCGAACGGACAAGCGGGACGGTTTGTGTGAACGTTCAAAAGAGCGTTGAAGAAAGCAAATCTTGAGAAAGTAAATGAGAAAGCACTTCAAAATTTTCTGAGAGTTTACCCTGTAACACCTAACCTCAATACACAATCAGGCATATTGTCGGTGGCAGAATTAATGTTTGCTACAAAAGTAAAATCGGTGTTCAAAAAGTAATTACCAAATTGAAAAACACGAATGAATAACAAAAACGACACCAAAAATAAAGTGTTCTTTTGAGCATATAAAAAAATGTAGGAAAAATCGGGTAAAAGACAAAAGATTTGAACATAAAAGGCACCATAATCAACTGAAAAAAGGTCATTGATGAAAGACCAGAAACAAATAAAATGTTGTTTTCGGTGTGCTAGCCCCACAATAAGTAGTGGCGTCTACAAGGACAAGTACCAGAAAAAGAAAGTATACTGAAGAAGTGGATCCGAGACGGAAACGCTACAAAGTATTAGTAGTACGTTGGCGAATTCTCCAGAAAGAAGAGGGGAAGTTACTAATACTAATAAAAAGTAAAATATTTATAAAAAGTATTCATTTAAAAAAAGGGAAATGTTGTGGAGTAAATAGTACACCCCTGGTGATTATATGAACGAGTCCATAACTATAAATAAAGAGCTCCAGGTCAGCGGTAAGATCGAGTCAGGCAGTTCGCTGCCAGGTTGGACAAACTCTCTACCTTCAGGCAGAGAGGAACCCAGACGATGCTATGCTTACGGGCAGTCTCGTCTGGGGAGGTAGACAAACCCGACCTCGTGTATGCGAGGTCTAAGATGAATATTTGCCAAGCTTACGGGCTCGGAATCGCCCCACGTAAAAACCGGCTTTGTGCTAAATCCCGCCTTGTGGAGAAGTTTGGGTAAACACCAGTCAGTCTTCAAACTAATTAATATAGGCGTCACGGCAAGTAGCCGATGCCATTTTCGTGTCTATTACTTGTCTCTTTGTGCCTAAAGACAACCAATCACCTTACATGCAGCAGGATATCAATAAATATACAACCCCCCCCAACACACACACACATATACATACACATATACATACAACAAGCAAAAAAGCGTGAGTCTATATTGAAGCTCTCTTTGACGGAACATATGTAGCAGTTTAGGACTGTAAATATTGTAGTTGACAGGTAAGAAAGAAACTAGAAGAGAATTCCAAAAGCGAACAGTATGACAGAATAAACTATAATCATAGTTAAAACTGTTACTGTTACATCTTTTGCAATTTTAGCAGTAAAATGATGAGACCTTACTGCCAATCTAGTAGTGTGCGTAAATTCGTAAAAAGAGGAAAGTTCATCAGAACAATTACCATGAAAATATTTATAGAAAAGGCATATAGTTAAGTTACAGTGGTGGGAAATTGACTGAAGCCGAGATGCCAGGTCAGAACCGATGAGGGTGCAGATTCTTCTTTGGATTTTTTCATAGCAAAATATCCAAACTAGATGTGGCAGCCATACATATGATAAGATTATAGTAGATATAAGATAGATTCTGGCAAGAAAAATTGTCTAGCACGACGCAGTGAACCAGTTTCTTAGCTGCAGACCAAGAAATTGATTCAATATAATCAGTCCACTCCAGGCCCAAAGGTTAAGCGAAAAAAATAATTTTTTTAACTAAGAACTTTTTCGGTGTCGGTAGATTATAT